ATATATAAATATAAATCATTAATTATTATAGGAGATATTAAATGTGGAGAGTGCAATAATGTACAAATTTTAATTTCAGTTTAGTTATTAAAATAATTTTAGTGTAACATACTTTATAATTGCGTTCTGTTATTAATAGCTAATTGATAGTTCATTGTGTGCAGACGCATAAAATTTGATACTTAATTCAGTGACAGATATTTATGAGAACTACGTTGTGAAATTTTTGTAGATTAACAATACAATTTTTCTGAAAGAAGAGTACTTACACATATAAATTGATGCTAAACAATAATCAGGAAAATTTTCTATTATAAATCCTATTTTATTATATGTTATATTTTTGGAAAATGTCAATGCTTTTCTATCGTATGTTTCTTTTTATATGATTTTTATATGATTAAATATCTACCTCAAATATTACATTTTAGGTCTTCAGGTCATCATTTATATTATATTTAAATGATACATGTACATACATAAGTAAAACTGAAATAAAAAAGTATTGTATGAACTATGACATAGTCAATGCAATGTATTACTTCTAAATTATTTAATTCAGCAGTTACATATTATCTTTCAAACAATAATAAACTTAAATAAATATTAGTTCAATTATTATACAAGTACTTTACAATAAATTATTTTTTAATTTTTTAAATATTTGTACTATACATATTTTATTATAAAATTCTTATAACGTATTATATATATCAAACACTTTTTATACATAATTTTACTATTGTGCCAAATATCTTTAAGGTATACAATCTCCACATTTCAATATCTCATCATATTGCAATTAATAATTTTTATAATTGTACATTTCAAAATTATAGTATTGAAAATTATAGTATTGAAAAAGATAGACATAATTACCTGGCATGTAACAAAGGACATGGTAGGGAGCATTACCAGGTGCTATACTAAATTTGGCAATATTGCCTTTACCTATTTTGTGTACATATCTATCAAAGTTGTTATTTTCATATAAAAGAACATTTCCTCCTTTCAATATTCCATAGAATGTTTCGTCACTCGACCACTGTGGCTCCCTATTTTTTCATTAAATAAATAATTATTTCAATGCATCACATATATATTTAATAAAAGTATTAGTTGCAACATAAAATTAACTGTACCATTACTATTTTTATCTTTACTCTATAATTGTCAATCTAGAGATTTTAATGATCAGAAAGGTTAATTTTAAATTAATCTCAAAGGAGAATCAGAATAATCAGTGTGTAATATATTACCAATCCCCCATTCTCTTCTGGATAAGATGTTGAACATGTTCACCTGTTTCGGACTTCCATATGTGAAAATTTTGTGAGCCCTGAGGCTCTTCTTTTGTTACTAAAATTATACCACAATGTTTCTAATTATAGACATTATAAAATTAATGTAAGCCTGCTTATATACTTGATATAATTTTGTGTTAATTACCAAAGGATGGTTCCCAAGTCGCAAGATAAGTGCTATAACTAGAGAATTTAAGAGAACAGATTTTGGGTCGTTGGATTTCTGCGACAATCTGCCACGTCTTGCACAACACGATTTTAACCTTAGATGCATTAGACCATGCAAAGTATTGACCATCTGGACTGAAGAGCATGGTCTTGCAGTTTTTGTTGTCATCTTTAGGAAATGTTTTGACAGGTTCATAGGACGGTGGACCATATGCTAAATTTATACCATTGGACCCTCTTACTGTAAAATACATTAATACTTCTTTTTTTACATCTATAATGACAAAAAAATGCATGCTTGTATTATATGCTTGTATTATGTTAATGTATATTGTATATTCTATGTACATTTGTCTACTAAATGGAATAAGAATGTCGTTTAAATAACGAAGGATCTCTATTTCTGAGGGACATGTGTCAAGGTGAATGTGTAAATTGTAATTTCATTCTTTTTTTTTTCAATATTACTGCTTTTACGAATATCGCGTCAGCTGTGACGTTTGAGAGCGTACACGTCACAATAGCTGGAGGTTAGAGCATAGAAGAATCTCGCGGTAAATTCATTTCAGGCCATGCCTGTGACTTGCGACATATCGAACACCGCTGTCACTGCGAATAATCTCGAGGCGATCTCGAGTCATTCGATGCCATAAAACACCGGAGACAGACACGTGCATGTTCATCATACGATGTGCAACGGGCACACTCAGAATGCCATCGGACGTTCGCGTATGCGGTTCCCTTGGAAGCAAAGTCTCTCTGGCGATCAGGTTGCAGCTCAGCGATCGACAGTTTCGTGAGTCCACGCGAAAGAAATGCTTACCAGCGACGCAGGGAACGAGCGAAGCCATTTTACCACCGTCACCATGTGGTGTTGCGCACAACCACCGCACAACGGGCAAGATTTGACCGTTTCGTGTTCTGTTCTGTCTGAACTGTCTGAAGTTAGGCTCTCTTCCGGCAGTTCCGGATTCCGGCTTGAGCGCTCCGCGCGGCGTGCCGAGATTGTCGGGAACCGGTTAATACTCATTTCCACCAATATAGATTAACTTTAATCTTTAGAATTAGAAAAAGATGAAGAGTAAGTTGAATCGAGATTAAAGTTAATCTACATTGATGGAAACGGGCATAAGTTAGACGGTTAAAATCGACTTAACTTCAGATGTGTGAACGCCTTGTTAATAAGATTTGTTCGCATCGCATATTCCAACATGCTCCAACATGTTCTTATCATAGTTCCTACTCACTCCAACATGAGTAGAAACAATAGAAGCATGTTGGAGTATGCAACTGTATGCAATGAACGAATCTATAATTACGATGGGTGTACATATATTTTTGCATCATTTATTTCACAAAGGAAACTGAGGGAAACTTTTCAGCAAAATTAGATTTTCATTATATATATTGATAGGGGCTACAAAAGTAAGGTGATCAATTCATTAAGAAGAGAAAAGGAGATATTAAATAAATTCAATATTGATTGTCGTAATTAAATTTTAAGAAATAAACATTTATTATAATTGTTAATGAAATACTTAAATAATATTATTATTATATTTATAAATAACTATAAATAATACTTAATGTAAAGTGTTAGACATATATAAGATATATATATAAGATATTACAACAAAAATTACATCATTACGAGATCATTACATCATTACATTTTATTTTCTTAAATTATACTTTTGTACTGAATGTTCTTACATAAAAAATCATAAAATTCTTCAGACGTTAATTGACAATTACATTTATTATTTTTCACACTTAAAAAAGAGATTTTTTTAATGATCATGTCTTCAGTTTGAAACAAAATTTGAGACATGTCGTAAAGTGGAACGAAGAATTAAAATTTGAAACGGTGTTCTTACACAAGAATTATTGGATGCTTTTCATTTGATGACACAAATCGACATAAGCATTCATTCTATTTTTCATCATTCACTCAGTAAAGATATAACGTCACTTATGTCTCCTTGGAAAACTCCCAAGATCTGTTATTTGCACTTAGAATCTTCGCTTTCTCTCTCTCTCTCTCTCTCTCTCTCTCTCTCTCTTTCTTCAACATCAAAATATATTTATTTTATTTTAATTGCAAAAAATTTTAAGAATTTTAAGCAACACAATAAACCTACAACCAGATATATGAGCATTTATAATGTCGAATGTATAATCGATCTCGAACTCGATCTCGCGCGCGATCAATCGATCGAGTCACTCTTTTCGAATCACTGCGGAACAACGAATTGTACACAATATGCACCGATAAATCATCCGTAATTTACGGTGAGCGGTCGGATCTATATTTGGAGAAGTCTAAAATCGTGAGATATTCTACGCAAGTATTTCTTTGGCAACCATCATCTTGATGGGGGATAGCCTTTCGTAACTCGATAGTCTTTCGCAACTTTACCCTCTCTACATACGAACCGCTTTTCCATTCTATCATTCGGGAATCGGGCGCAGTCAGAGTCAGGTGCTCAAACAGATCATTCGTGATGAGGAGAAGAAACGTACGCCGCGACTGAAGTGAGAGCAGCTTAGAGCTCCACGTTGTGCTCAGCAGTGCTCTTTCCTTCGCGCGTTTCGAAGCGTTTTCGAACAGTTCGAGCGCGGTCGGGTGTTATCGCGCCGATAGGAACCGTGGGCGTTTCGTACACGAAATATCTATGGACGTTGCACACGCGCGCGATCGTAGATCTCCTCGACACCCACCGAATTGCATAGGGCATGGCAAGTTCATGCTTCAGGTAATCGTAACAGTTGTTTTTCCTCCTGTGAAACAAATCATGCATTCACACTGCGTATCATGTTCTGTGAATATAACTGACTCTCGACAGAGTCGTCGATTCGCAAATCTCGCGTTTATTTTATTTTTATTTTTGTCTCGTCGAGGTTATGTTTCCGTCCCTCAAACCACTTTGAAAATGAGACTCCCTTCTGCTTGTTTCATCCACCATTTGTCAAAACTTATTTTTTTTCTTTTTTTTATTATCACCACAATTATGTATTAATTCGCGAATCATTCATACTGTAATGAAAATATACTGGTATGAAAGTATGTGATGTAATATTTACTTGATAATCAATATAGCAATAACTTGTATTTTGTATTATAAAACATAAAGTGCATTCCATTTGATGACACAAAGTTGACATAAATATCGTTTTTTCTTTGTTATTTATCGAATGCAAAGAAGAATAGGGCCATTTATGCCTGTTTGCATCAATGTAGATCAACTTTAATTTTAGTTCTTACTCTTCGTCTTTTTCTAGTTCTGAAGATTAGAAAAAAATGAAGAGTAAGTTGAATCGAGATTAAAATTAATCTACATTGGTGAAAATGAGCATTAGTTCATAAACGTTTTCATCTTGATAGTCCACGAGTACAAACAAAAGACAAAATAATACTTGTGTTACTAAATGAAAAGCATCCATAATGATGTTTGTATCAACTTGTGTAAAGCTGCTTCCTTTTTAAGCTTATACAATGTGCTCTTTATTTCTTTTATTTCTTGCCTTTTGTCTCTTACTCAGTCTTTTCGTTTTCTGTCATCCAAAATAAAAACGAACTTTGGAAGAGACAAGAACACATGAAAAGAAATATAATTTTTAGTAAAATGGTCTCAAAGAGGAAAAAAGGTATGAGATAAAAAGCAAAAAACACATTGTAGATAAAAACTTTGGGAGACACAATTGATAACGGCAAGTTTTATATTTGTTATTCATTAATTTTTGTTATTGTTAAGGAGAACAAAACGACATTTTTGTCCATTGTAGTTCTGTTCTTTTCAACTGAACTTGCATGATTTATCTTCTTTTTTTTTCATGTTAGAGAAAAAAAAAGATGAATGTGCAAGAAATTTAGATGCATTGATAGTATCCATAAACTATTTATATCTACTAGGATCACTTTCTGAGTTCATGTTATGTGTTCATGTTATACTATGTGTATACTAGATGTGTATACTAGATTTTCAGTATTGGCACTTTATATCAGAATATAATCTATATATAATAGATATTGTATAGTATAATAATTATATATTTGTTTTCAGTGATGTGGACGAATATGGTTTCGAACGACCACACGACTTCGATTATGAAACATACGAAGATTTTATGTCCGAATACCTTAAGGTACTCGCAAAGATGGCTAAAAAGTGGGCGAAAATTATCGGTGAAGGAAAGTCTCTACGAAGCATTACGATCAAGAAATACATTCGTAAAGGCATTCCAGGGGAACATAGAGGATTGGTAATATTCATTGCAAAGGCAAATTTATCGTATTTTTTATATATAATACAGAAAAATATTGGATCATAGGTGTGGCTCGCTGTAAGCGGTGGTGAAGATATGAAGAATGCGTCGCCAGATCTTTATCAAAAGTTACTATTATCTCCTCACAATGCAGAAACCGCTGAGATTATTAAAACTGATCTTCCAAGAACATTTCCAGACAATATATTCTTTAATAATACAGAGAATCAGCAGCATCAATTATATAATGTTTTATTAGCTTTTGCTCATCAGAACAAAACTGTTGGATATTGCCAGGTAACATTTACAGTGCATATTTCCGAATATACGAATAAAATAACAAAATTTTAATAAAAAATTTCATGAATAGTAAGATTTTATGAGAAAGTTTCAAAAGATATTTATTCTGCCTTATTACAAAACGCTTTTAATATTTTTTTCAGGGTTTAAATTATATAGCGGGTTTACTTTTGCTTGTAACAAAAAGCGAAGAAACAGCGTTTTGGTTATTAAAAGTGTTGATTGATAAAATTCTACCAGATTATTATACTTGTACTATGGATGGCCTACTCACTGATATCGATGTCCTCGCAGAATTAGTAAGGTAAGAGAAAATTTGCTATAGTTTTCTCATCAGCAATATTTATCTATGTACATGTTATTTTTATAGGATAAAAATGCCTGATGTGTATCAGCATGTAACAAACGTAGGGCTGCCTTGGCCAGTAATTACGACTAAATGGTTTGTGTGTTTGTTTGCTGAAGTTTTACCTATAGAGGTATGTCATAATTATCAAAACATTGAATAATTTTTTATATAATAATTATCTAAATATGTATCATCATTTATTTTGCTTATAAAAGCTTCAAATATTTTGATCCCAAAAAATTGAAGGTAATTTTAAATTCACAGACTACTCTGCGTATTTGGGATTGTCTTTTTTATGAAGGTACCAAGATTATCTTCCGTGTTGCATTGACACTTATAAAAAGGAATAAATCTAATCTATTAGCTTGTCAAGATTTTATAACGCTAGCTGAGTGTTTTAAGGAAATTACGAAAGATAGTATTGTTTTACGATGTCACGAGTTTATGCAAGTATGTAGTTGTATTTGTAGTTCATATCAAATAGGGAAGAACATTAGATATTCAAGGAAATATTTTTCTGTTTTACAGAGTATTTTTAAAGTACCTGGATCACTGCCTGGAAACACAATAGCAAAACTAAGAACAAAACACATGCAACAACGTATAAAACGAAAACAAGATAAGTTAGAACGATAGTATTAATGACCAATTTTTTTCACGACATATTCTAGTCTATTGTTATTCATTGTGCATCATTTGCAAAATGAATGCATATAATGCTGTATTATATTGTTACTGCATAATTTTATTTTGTACATATAATGTTCATTTAGCAATGTAAGTATGATACATTTACTCAATTATTATTAATTTATCTTCGTTTATTATTGTGTACACAATATTATAAATATTTTAATGAGAAGATTAGATGTGAAGTATTATAATCTATAATGAAAGTTGCATAATTGTGATATTTTGTGGAAGTAGTAATATGGAAATATTGATGAAATATTTGATGAAAAATAGTTGTCCTCGTAATATTTTATTCTAATTGACTCTGAATTTATATGCAGTTTCTATTCATGCATAAACTTTCTTGAGAACTTAATCTAGCTGATGAAGGTATTAAAAAAAGATTAATTGTTCTAAAATATACAGCTTCAAAAATATATTATAATAGTGAATAATACGTAAAGTT